AACCCCCTGTAACCCCCCACCCCAGCCCCGGAGCCCCCGCGCTCACGCTCCAGCCCCAGTGCAGCAGCTGCATGCGCTGCGGCAGGCGGCAGCTCCAGGCCAGCAGCACCAGCGCAGCGAACACCAGCTCCACCGCTGCCAGCCCCAGGTAGCCCGAGCGCGACGCCCCGAAGCACACCAGGGTCAGCAGGCACAGCACCTGCGGGACAGGGACCTGTGGGGTCCGGACGGGATGTGCCACGGCTCCTCTGAGACCCCGTAGAGACCCCCTGAGTGTACCCTGTTATAGACACGGCCCTTATGGGGTGTGTGCTGTGTGCCCTATAGGCGTGTGTGTGACCAGACTCCCTGTGAACCCCCCCATAGACCCCTCCCGAAGCACACCAGGGTCAGCAGGCACAGCACCTGCGGGACAGGGACCTGTGGGGTCCGGACGGGATGTGCCCACGGCTCCTCTGAGACCCCACAGAGACCCCCTGATGTGGGGTCAGCAGGCACAGCACCTGCGGGACAGGGACCTGTGGGGTCCGGACGGGATGTGCCACGGCTCCTCTGAGACCCCGTAGAGACCCCCTGAGTGTACCCCGTTATAGACACGGCCCTTATGGGGTGTGTGCTGTGTGCCCCATAGGCCCTGTGTGCTCTGGGCTCCCTCTGAGCCCCCACAGAGACCCCCTGAGTGTACCCTGTTATAGACACGGCCCTTATGGGGTGTGTGCTGTGTGCCCCATAGGCCCTGTGTGCTCTGAGCCCCCCCATAGACCCCCTGATGTGTACCCCGTTATAGACACGGCCCTTATGGGATGTGTGCTGTGTGTCCCATAGGCGTGTGTGTGACCCAGGCTCCCTGTGAACCCCCCTATAGACCCCCTGACGTAGACCCCATTATACACACAGCCCTTATGGGGTGTGTGCTGTGTGCCCCATAGGCCCTGTGTGCTCTGGGCTCCCTCTGAGCCCCCCCATAGACCCCCTGAGTGTACCCCGTTATAGACACGGCCCTTATGGGGTGTGTGCTGTGTGCCCCATAGGCCCTGTGCGCTCCACCCAGGCTCCCTGTGAGTCCCCCCCAGAGACCCCCTGCCCTGACCCCATTACACAACCCCAGCCCTTATGGGATGTGTGCCCCATAGTCCCTGTGTGTGTGTGAGCCAGGCTCCCTGAAGGGACATGAAGGCACAGCAGGGACGCTCCGGCGCTCAGAGTCCCCCATAGCGCTGCGTGCCAGCCCCGCGTGTGGCTGCCAGGAACGCCTCGGGGGGCCCCTATAGGGTCCTGAGCTCGTCCTGTAGGGCCCTGCAGCCGCTGGGCTGTCACCGAGAGACTCTCAGAGCACCTCTGGTACCCCTGGGGGTCACCTGTAGATGTCCTTAGGGCCACCAACAGGCCACTGTGGGGTCGCCTATAGATCCCCCATAACGCCCCCATTAAGCCACTGTGGGGTCACCTACAGATGTCCAGTAGGGCCACCAACAGGCTGTTGTGGGGTCACCTATAGGCCCCCCCATGGGCCGCTGTGGGGTCACCTATAGACACCCCCCATTAAGCCACTGTGGGGTCACCTACAGATGTCCAGTAGGGCCACCAACAGGCTGTTGTGGGGTCACCTATAGGCCCCCCCATGGGCCGCTGTGGGGTCACCTATAGGCCCCCCCATTAAGCCACTGTGGGGTCACCCATAGGACCCCCCACGGGCCGCTGTGGGGTCACCCATAGGACCCCCCCCATAGCGGCCCCTGTGGCCACGCCCATGTCCCCGCGGGCCCCTGGCCCCGCCCCCGCGTGGGCGGCGGGACAAGGGCGCCGCTGTGGGAGCGCCGGGGCGGGGCCGTCTCCCGGCAACGGTCGCCATGGCAGCGGCACAACAGCCCCCACCCACCCACCTTCAAGGGGCGATGGCGGGGTGGGCCCGCGCGGGGGCTCTTAAAGGGGCAGGGGTCGCCGTGCCCCGGGCGCCGTGCCGCAATACCGGCCCGGCTGGCGCAACCCCGGCTGGCACGGCGGGCCGGCCCCGCCCGAGCGCCGCTGCTGCACATCCGGCACCGGCCCCGCCCTGCTCACCTTCCCCGCCCGCCCCCCCGCTCCCAGGGCGTTGTCCCTCCACGCGCCCGAACGGCACCGGGAGGCGCGGGGGCACTGCGGGCAGGCCACCCCCGACACCCGGCACGTGTCGGCCCAGCGGCAGCCGGGCATCCCCGGAATGGGGGACCGGGTGTGCCGCTGCCCCGGAATGGGGACCCCGGTGTGCCGCTGTCCCGGAATGGGGACCGGGTGTGCGGTACCCCCGATCCTTCCAAAGCGGGGACCCGGCGCAACCGCCATCCCGGCGTGCCGGGGTGCCCCCAGCCCCCCAAACGGGGACCCGCGTGCCGGGGTGCCCCCAGCCCCCCAAACGGGGATCCCAGACATCCTGCCCCGCCCTAACCGGCACTCACGGATCCCGCCTCCCCGAATGAGCGCCCACCGTGTCCCCCCTCCCCAGAGGACCCGGCCCCGAGTCACCCTGCCCCCTCCAGCAGGCACCGGGCATCGCGCTGCCCCGAGCCGGCCCCAGAGTGTCCCGGTGTGCCCCCCGGTGCCCGCTCCGCCGGGTGCGGTGCCCCCCGCGGTGCCCCCCGCGTCTCACGATCTCGCCGATGAGCACGAGCCCCTTGTGGGTGCGGCTGAAGGCGCGGCAGGTGGCGGGGCAGCTCTGGGCCCCGCTGGACTCCATGGCGGCTGGGCTGTACCACTCTGCCGGTGGGGGGGGCACTGGGGTGTCTTGCTGAGTTTGGGGGAGCTGTGGGCTGCACCACTGCGCTGGCAGGGGGGTGATTTGTCCAGCTGTGTTTTGGGGGGCTGTACCACCCGATCTGGGGGGGACTGGGGTACACCGGTGTGTTTTGGGGGGCTGTGGGCTCTACCACCCGATCTGGGGGGGATTGGGGTTCACTGGTGTGTTTTGGGGTGTCCCTGGGCTGTACCACTGCGCTGGCAGGGGGGTGTTTTGTCCAGCTGCGTTTTGGGGGGCGGTCCCTGGACGTCCCAGTGCCTCGGGGGTCTCTGGGGTGTCCCTTCGGGCCGTTCCCACCCTGCCCCGGGGTCCCGGGGGGGGTCTCACCGTGGGGGCGGCGCAGCAGCAGGCGCAGGCGGCTGCCCCCCCCCCGGATCCGGGCCAGCGCCTGCGCGGGGCTCATGCCGGCCGTGGGGGCCCCGTTGATGGCCAGGAGCTCGTCACTGACCTGCCCCGGGACCCCAGAGTTACAGACCCCCCCCGGGGGACCCCGAAAGTGACACAACCCCCCGGACCCCAAAAATTACAGACCCCCCCGGGGACCCCCAAAAGTTACAGACCGCCCCCAGGACCCCCAAAAGTTACAGACCCCCCGGGACCCCAAAAATTACAGACTGCCCCGGGGACCCCAAAAGTTACAGACCCCCCCAGGACCCCCAAAAGTTACAG